CCCCCCCTCCTCCTCCTCTTTCTCCTCCTCCTCCTCCTCCCCCTCTTGTTCTTATTATTATTATTATTATTATTATTATTTATTATTATTATTAATATTGTTATTGCGATTGTCACTTGTTATGTTTCTAAGTGGTGTTATTTGGTTTGATGTTTATGGTTCCCTGAATCACTACTATGTGTATGTTTATTAGTAATCCTAATAGTATTAGTATTACTAGTATGCGCATTATTATTAGTCTGCGTCCTGCGAATTATTCTTATTAGTCTTCACATTAGTATGGTTGTATTCTTCTTATACGTTGTATTAGTATTCCTCTTCCTCCTCCTCCTCCTCCTCCTCCACCCTCCTCCTCCCCCTCACTCCTCCCCTCCTCCTCCTCCCTTTTCCACTCCTCCTCCTCCTTCTCCTCGCACTCCCCCCCATCCTCACCCTCCTTCTCCTCCTCCTGCTGCTTCCTACTTCTAATCCTCTCCGTCCTGCGCGTTTGTTCCTTCCTTCTGCCTCCTCTTGCTCCTGCTGCTGCTCCTCCTCCTCCTCCCTTCTCCTCCTCCCTTCTCATCCTCCTCCTCCTGGTCCTCCTCCTCGTCCTCCTCCTCCCCTTCTTCTTAGTATGGTTATTCTTATTAGTTTTCTGATGAGTACTATTATTATATAATATCATGTGCATTACCACGATGAGTATTACTCCGATGCTGAATCTAATTGTTACTTATACTGTTCTTGTTGATGTATATTAGTCGTATTATTCTCAGCTTTCATAGCATTATTAACATCAATATTACTACTACTAGTGTTGCTCGCCTTAGTTTTCTTTTTATTATTCCTCCTCCTCCTCCTCCTCCTCCTCCTCCCCCTCCTTCTCCTCCTCCTCCTCTTCCTCCTCTCCTCCTCGGACCATGAGTGTCTTCGTCAGCTTGCCGCGGCCCAGGCTCGCTCGATTCCGTGGAGCAGGGACGTCAGATCGCCCTGGCTGAGGGCCAGCCAGTCAAGGGGGGCAACAAAGACACATGGCATACCCATACACGCCGCTACACCCAAGATCTCAAGCCTCGCCCTGGGTGCGCTCCGACGAGGATCCCACGGCCGAGCCCTACCGTGGCGACGAGAGCCTCCCGGGAGAAGGCCTGTGGCTTTCGGGCCACATCCCCGCGACGAGGCGAGGCTGATGGAGACCACCCCGAGCATCGACCGCGCTCGGCGACTCTCGGGCCGGGCGAAAGGGGGGGGATAGCAAAAGGGGGTTTGAGAATCAGCTCACGTAGCTGATTTTCCCTGCGCCTGCAGGCGCCGGAGGCGGCTATGTATCGAGGAACGGGCCCCTCGGTGGGGCCGAAACCAGCTATACATGCAGCAGATTTCGTACCCCCCCCCTTTCCCAAACCCCCCCTTTCGCCCGACCCGAGACTCTAAGAGAACTCTGGAAAACGGCCTCCCGACGTACGAGAACGACGAAGTGTACCCGTCGTGGCGGCAGCGAGGCGCCCCGGCAGCCCCGTTCCGCGCAGCGGCTCCCGGGGGGCGAAGGCCCGGCCACCCGCGCGCGGGTGAGCGCGGCAGCCGTCGAGCGCTCGGGGGCTCAGAGGGTCGGGCTGCCGTGAGGGCTGGGATCAAAGAGAGAGAGGGAGAGAGAGAGAGAGAGATTGGGGAAAAAGCACGAAAAACAAACAAGTAGTCATAATAGTTGTAGAGAAAGTGAGAGAGAGAGAGAGAAAGAGAGAGAGGAGAAGAGATGACAGAGAGAGAGGGGGAGGGAGAGAGTGAGAAACAAACGCACTTCTAGAAGAGAGAGAAGAGGGACGAGAGAACAGAGAGAGAGAGGGAACTAGACGGACAGACAGACAGACAGACAGACGGACAGACAGACACAGACAGAAAGGCAGACAGACAGACAGACAGAGAGACAGTTAGACAGAAGGACAGACAGACAGAGAGAGAGACAGACAGAAGGAGAGAGAGAGAGGGAGAGAAGGATTGATCGCTGGCACAAAGGCGGGGCGCGAGAAGGGCACCAACTGTTACCAGCAGCGCCCCGAAAATCGCCCCACCTTGAAGAGACGGGCAGGGGCCCGGGCGATGCGGAGGCAAGGCCATTTAGCCCGCCTGGGTCGGGCCGGGCTAGCGAAGAAACACAAATCCTACCGATGCAGTTGCCATGATATCGTTTCTTGTCTTCTTGCGATAACCCAGGTTATATGCTTGGGGGGATGTGACAAGGGAGGTGACGGCCGATGACCTGAGTTTGGTGCTTTGCGCAGCCCCGCGTATAACCGCGTGCGCCAGTGCTGCGTGCCCCCTTCGAACGAAGCGGGTTTGGGTCCCGACTGGACATAAAAGGGGTCCGTGCTTCAGCGTCCTCACTGCACTGGAACGGATTCACCCAAAAAGGACCCCTACTTCTTTGGGAGGGGACCAAAGTCAGGAGGACCAAACACATCAGTGATAGGGGCTCGTTTTGGCAGATCGCACCAGAAACGCCCAAAGGTGTGGACCTCAGTGAGGCCACGTCCTCACTGTGTTATCAGGGATCGGGGCTTACACTCTCAACGAGGAAGCGCTCCCCGGACCTACCCGAGGGGGCACGGTCCGAACAGGATCCCAGGGCGGATGCGGCCGCCGCGGCGAGGGCGTCGCCGTCCCCGGGCGGCCCAGAGGGCCGAGAACAGAGGGATGGCAGCGGTATCGGCGTGCGTGCACGCCGCACGCACGCACCTGCGGTCAAGAACTCTTGCTCAGCGCGTCGCCGCCCCGGCAGCACGCTGTGCCCCGCGAGCGGACAGCGTGTCGCTCCTCTCTGGGGGCAGGAGGCTAAAACAAAGCTCGGGACGTGGACGGTCGGGGACCGCGACGCGGACAGCGTGCGGCGACGAAGCGTGGCCCGCCAACACCGGCGGCGCGACACGCTAACCCGAAGGTCCCGACCGTACACCCTGCACGCCACCACCGCTCTGCCTGGCCAGGGCCCCCCTCCTCCTCTTCCTCCTCCTCCTCCTCCTCCTCCTCCTCCTCTTCCTCCTCCTCCTCCTCCTCACCCTCCTCCTCATGTAGGCCCAAGAAGGTGCATGCACGCTCATGGCCGACGCCAGGAGGGCCTGTCCAACATCCTATAGGGGCCAAGGATGGCCCTGGCCAGGTATGCTGGTGGTGCACAGGTGCGTCCCGCGCACGACTATCTTGGATGTGTGCACCAGGTAGGGTGGTGGCTCGAGGGGGAGGCCGCCGTCTCACAGGGCGGGGAGCTCCTGACAAGGACGGGGGCTCACAGCAGCCCTCCCCCGACTTTCATGAGAAGCCTCCTTGCAAACATCCGGGACAATCCCCCGACATCCGCCGATCCGTATCCCACTGGCCCTTTCGGGCGTAGGTGGTTCAGAGTCAGAGCACTTCCTCTTCCAGCCCCCGCATTCCATTCCAGGGGGAGGGGTGACCTTTACCCTACCCCCTTTCCCATGTGTCTGGAAGGGGGGGCGGCAGGTCGTTGGAGCGTCGACGATGGCCCAAAGATGGCTCCAAGATGGCCTCGGCAATCCTCAGCACGAGGCTCCAACCCCGTTCCAAAGCGGGTCCAGCTGGCCACTGAGCCTCCTCAGGACGCCTGGGCAATACATGATGGTGGCCTTTTCGCCTTTTCGCTTCCGATGGGCTTTGGGAGCATCAAATGGCTCCAAGATGGCCCAAGAGGGCCCAGGAGGGCTCCAAGCCGGCCCCAAGCACTAGTGGCTCTCGGGGAGGGGGGGCTATCAGAGGCCCCCCGACACTTGATGGATGTCCTCCTAGACGGCCCCAAGACTGCCCCCGAGGCTCCCAAGAGGACCTGCAGAGAGCCCCGCAGAAGGCTTCAAAGGCCCCAATCAAAGGCCCAAGGTAGCTCCAAGAGTTCCCAAGAGCGCCTCAAGAGGGCTCCGTGAGGCGGCCAGGCGCCTCTATAAAAGCTTCCACAGGGGGCTGCAAAGGGGGGCCCGCGCCTCTTTGATACATGCCCTCCAAGATGACCTCCCACGCCCATCCTCCTCCTCCTCCTCCTCCTCCTCCTCCTCCTCCTCCTCCTCCTCCTCCCTCGCTCTCCCTCCCTCCTCCTCCGCCGTCCTCCTCCTCCTCCTGCTCCGTCCTCCGTCCTCCGTCCGCCTCTCCCCTCCTCCTCCTCCTCCTCCTCCTCCTCCTCCCTCCTCCTCCTCCTCCTCCCTCCTCCTCCTCCTCCTCCTCCTCCTCCTCCTCCTCCCTTCCTCCTCCCTCCCCTCCTCCTCCTCCTCCATCCTTCTCCTCCTCCACCTCCTCCCTCCTCCTCGCTCCTCCTCCCCCCCTCCTCCCACCTCCTCCCCCGCCCCACCTCCTCCATCCTCATCCTCCTCCTCCACCTCCTCCACCTCCTCCTCCTCCTCCTCCTCCTCCTCGCTGCCTCCGTCCCCCTGCTCCTTCGAGGCCAGGAATCCAGGAACCATGGCCGCCACCCTGCCGAACAAACTGACCATCCTCGATTCACTCCTCGCCGTCCCTTGGCGGCGCGCACAAAGGGGGTAGGGGGAGGGGGGAGGGCTTCTTAGAAGGAGGCTGCTTCTTAGAAGGCGCCGGCCTTACATCTACAAAGAAGGCCCGCGCCTTCTAAGAAGCAGGGGTGCTTCTAAGAAGCCTTCCCCCCTCCCCCTACCCCCTTCTGCGCGTGGCCAGATCCCTCATCATCCACCTCATGTGATCAAGCGATGCCACAAAATAACTCACGCTTGGGCCTGATCGGCCCGCTCGCGAATTCTCGTTTCACCGCTGCCTCGTGCCTGGGCCTCGTTTCAGAATGGGCTGGCGGGGACGCGCGACACGTCAACCGCTTTTCAATCCACTGCCCCAGAGGTGCCGACCGCTTCCCCGGGATAGAACTTCTGTCCCGGATCAACTCTGGTGATGGCCCCAGGGCTTGAACAGAAGCACACTAGAGAGTCGAAGTCCATGCGAAAAACTGCGCCAACTCAGAAAATCGGATGGCCGGTCTCCTGGGCCCGAGAGACGGCCCACGACCAGGACGTGCGACGCCCAGACTTGTTCAAGACAGGGCCCCTGATGCCCCGCCCCCCTCCCCGGGACCGGCTGGTGAGCGTTTTTTATCCGGCGTCTCGACCTTGGGCGGAAGGGGGGTGGGAGGGAGGGGGTCCGGCTCTGGACCTCTGCTGAGTACGACTACTTTGTTGCCACAGCGCGCCCCTACGAGGGGGGACTCCGCCTGCTCGGAACAGGCGCCCAAGACCGGCCAAGCTCTACTCCATGGGGGGGGGGGGAGGAGGAGGAACCCGACCTCCGCCGCGCTTCTCCCGCGGCGCCGGAGGGGGGGCGAAGCTCCCCCCCTGCCTCGCTCCGCGGGCGCTCGTCCTCCCCACCGCCTCTTCTCCCCTCCTCCCCCCCTCCCCCTCCTCCGCCTCCTCCTCCTCCTCCTCCTCCTCCTCCCTCCTCCCCCTCCTCCTCTCCTCCCCACTCCTCCCTCCACCTCCTCCTCCTCCTCCTCCTCCATCCTCCCTCCTCCGCCTCCTGGCTCCTCCTCCTCGCCGACCTCCTCCTCCTCCTCCGCCCCCTCCTCTCCTCCTCCACCTCCTCCTCCTCCTCCTCCCCTCCTCCTCCTCCTCCTCTTCCTCCTCCTCCTCCTCCTCATAGTCCTCCTCACCGCCTCCTCCTCCTCCTCCTCCGCCTCCGCCCTCCTCCGCCTCCCCCTCCTGCTCCTCATCCTCCTACCTCCTCCCCCTCCTCTCCTCCTCCTGCTTCCTCCCTCCTCCTCCACCTCCTCCTTCCTGCTCCTCCTGCTCCTCCTCCTCCTCCTCCTGCTCCTCCTCCACCTGACCTCTCTTCCCTCCCTCCTCCTCCTCCTCCTACCTCCTCCCACCTCCCTCCTCCTCCGCGTCCTCCGCCAAGTACACCTCCTGCTCCTCCTTCCTCCGCCTCCTCCTTCCCCTCCTCCTCCGCCTCCTCCTCCTCCTCCTCCTCCTCCTCCTCACCCTCCTCCTGCTCCTCCTCCGCCTCCTCCTCCTCCTCCTCCCCTCCTGCTCCGCGTCCTCGTCCTCCTCTTCCTCATCCTCCTCTCTCCTCCTCTTCCCTTCTCCTCCTCCTCTTCCTCCTCCTCCTCCTCCTCCTCCTCCTCCTCCTCCTCCTTCTGCTCCTCCTTGTGTATATATATACATATATGTACAAGACTTGAAGCTCGCTGCGCTTCGCTTGAAAGTCTTGGTATAGTGCATGGTGGGAGTGAGGCGTGGGCCGAAGGCGGCCGTTGGGCTGTGCAAGGAAGCGTGCGCAGGGCGGAGAACTGGACGAACATCGCAATACACGCCGGCACGAGGACGACGGGGGCGCGCGCGCACGCGCGCGCGCGGGTGGGCGCGCGCGTGCGAGGGTACAGAAGGGCGGGTGCCATCACTAACGACAGGAAGAATTAGCCCGGAAGCTGTCCTAAGTTTCTCCTTCAATGTGTGTTATACTTCTTCGTCTCTGTCGTTTCAGGGCGCCGTGATTGCCTCTGAAGGTGTCCAGAGGGATGCTCTGGGAACGCGCATGCGAGAGATGAGGAGTGAGGGTTGCGGCGAGGGTCATTTATCGGTCCTCTGGCGCACAAAAAGTGGCCACGACGGTACTGGCAAGCGAGCGCGGTGCGGGCTCGCTGAGCAAGCGATCCTACTGGCGGGGGGGGAGTAGAGGGAGTGGTTGCCGGGCAAGTATCGCACCGGCACGAGTGCCGAGAAAATGGAAGGCTAGCAGGGGCCAGCGGATGCGCGTGGAAGCGGCGTGCTGCAGACCGCACGTCAGTTCTTCGCTTTCTTGGCGGGCTTCTTCGCGACGGCACCGCCGACGGCGGCCGCCGCCGGGCGCTTCTTGACGGACGCGGGGGCGGCCGGCGCCTCGGCGGTCAGGGCAGAAGGGGCGGTGTCCACCATGGCCGTGTTCGGGTCACACGTGGTCCACGTGATGAACTGCGGGTACTTCATCTGCAGGCTGCGCAGCGGCGCGAGGATCTTCTCGGGGATGTTCTTGGCGACGACGACGCAGAAGATGTGCAACTCCTTGACCGTGCGGTCGGTGCCGTCGAGCATCTTGAAGGACCGAGTGAGCTGGACGCGGTTCTGGTTGCGGACGCTGGAGATTGTGAAACCGTTGTGTTTCCCCGTCGGCGGCACGACG